ATCTCATGTTTGATTAGAACCTATGGTTCTGTTGTCCTAATCTTGCCTATCAGTTTTTTAGATTGTGTTGATTTTAAACAAGGAAACAAAGCTGCCTGATTAGGTTTTTTGTTTGTTTGTTTTAATTTATGTAGAATTTGCCACGTGGTGTAGGAAGGTTGGTGTTTTTAATGGTGTGAGAGGGTAATGCTTGGCCTCTGGGGAACAGGTAAGGCTGGTTGGAGCCTGTCCAGGCATGCTCAGAACTGCAGTACCAGATGACTTAGATTCCTTCTTCCTTCCCTCCAGTTGTGGTCCAAAAAAGTGAAAGAATTCTTGCAATACAGCCAGTCATTGTTTCCAGTAAGAGTTTCGTGGTCTTTATTTTATTTTTTTTAAAGATGGCACCTAAAGGACTAGTCACAATTGAGCAAAGCTTACCACCTTCTTGGAATAAGGAAGAATATGAATAAATGAACTTGACTAATGAGTTTACTATTTGATGTTTAATAACTTTTGGTTTCTAAAATAATCATTTTATCCATTTACCTTTTGAATCTTACTTAACGGTGTTAAAATTAACAGTGCTTCGGGTGTAGTAGAATTAAATGTGGTATCTTCATATTTTCCTAGACATTACCTATCTAACTGTATTCGAGATTTTTATTTTTTTGTGTTTATTTTTTTGAGTTTTGAGTTGCAGTCTCACTCTGTCGCCCAGGCTGGAGTGCAATGGCACGCCCACGACCACCCCAGCGTCGACCTCCTGGGCTCCGGTCATCCTTCCGCCTCAGCCTTCCAAGTAGTCAGAACTACAGGTGTGCACTACCACGCCCGGCTAATTTTTTTTTTTTAATTTATTTTTTATTGTAAAGGTGCGGTTTCACCATGTTGCCCATGCTGGTCTTGAATCCGTGGTCTCAGACAATCCTCTTTCCTTGATCTCCCAAAGTTCTGGGATTTCAGGCTTGAGCCACTGTGCCCAGCCTAGATTTTTATTTTTAAAAAGTAAGTGAGTCTAGCCGGGTGTGGTGGTACATGCCTATAGTTCCAGCTACTTGGAAGGCCGAGGCGGAAGGATAGCCTGAGTTCAGCAGGTCTAGGCTGTGGTAACCATGGGCGTGCCACTGCACTAGAGTCTGGGTGACAGAATGAGAGTCCGACTCAAAAAAAAAAAGTAATGAGTCAACAGGATTAATTTTTAATGTGTGTTTCAATACTACTAATGCAATAGAATTTTTAAATGACCCCCTCCCCATTTCTTGTGAAGTACCTGCTGCATTTTTTTAATAGTTGTAGATGGTTATATTGTGCTTAGTACATGGAGTTTATGGAGAGTCAAAGCCTATAGAAGTGCTACTTGTTAATACTGGTCTTCAAAGTGGAGTAGTGTTTGAAGAAACATATTCTTTTTATTTAATTTTCATTTAAAATGTTATTCCCTTTTTAAATGTTCAGAAATGGGAAGGCTATTACTTAATTGGAAAGAAACTTTTGACCGTTTATAAATCGGTTCCACCCCATATACTTCAGCAAGTTATGAAAGGAAGGACTCCAGAGTCCTCTGGGTCTGGATCTCTTTATTCTGCTCACTCCTGGAGCTTGTTTTATTATCTGTTAGCTGTGGAGCCTTTAACTTTTCAAAGGGTTCCTGTGAGGATTAAAAAAGATTTTGTATGTAGAGTTCCTGATGTACGGTTAAATGTTCTGTCTTTGTATATTTGGTTTAATTTTTCTAAACAAACAACTTTGGTAACATCAACAGCATATTAGAATCTAAAATATGCGTTTGTTCTTTTAAAAGATAACATTAAAAAGGTTCTTTCGGTAGTGTTAAATCTTAAATATAATAGAAACTTGAATAGTCATGCAGTGATTATTTCTAGTTCATAGAGATAACAAATAATATGAAAACTTGTTTTATAATTGGAACTTAAAAATAAAGGAGATTTAAGTGTTTTTTTCCTTTTTTTTTTTTGAGTTGGAGTCTCACTCTGTCGTCCAGACTGGAGTACAGTGGCCGCTCCCGGCCACCGCAGCCTCGACCTGCTGGGGCTCCGGCAATCCTTCTGCCTCAGCCTTCCTAGTAGCTGGAATTACAGGTGCACACTACCATGCCTGTCTAACTTTTTTGATTTATTGTAGAGATGAGGTCTTGCCAAGTTGCCTAGGTGGGTCTGGAACCCGTGGGCTCAGGCAATCCACTCACCTCAGCCTCCCAAGGCGCGGGATTACAGGCTGAGCCACCGAGCCCGGCTAAGTGTTTTTTTCTTAAGGTAAAAGATAAGATTTGAAACCAGATAATAATGTGTTCATGTATACCTGTATGATTAGGAACATGTTTTCTACTGTCCCTCTATATTCCGGTTTTTCTCTATGATGTTTTTGCTACTTTAAATTCCGTTTTATGCAACAAAGCAAATGCTTATGAATATGTATTAATGAAGAGTAGATTTTGACTTAGTGAATAGAATTTAAAATTAGGTAACAGATTCACTTTGTTCAAATGTGATATATTCTCTTTCTTACTTTCTTTGGTAATCACTCATAAATTAAAAACCTCAGAACTATTGAATACGATACTACTGTAAGGAGATGACTTGATTTTCAAAATCATCTTGTATAAATTATAGCACCGTAAACCAGGTCACTTGTATTGAAAGCTTATTAGTGCGGGTGGTTTCTCTATTAGTTACGAGTAGATTTGGGCACTACTGTCTCCTCAAATACTAATCTTACATAATTTCTTTACTGGAAACTTGGGTGTCAGCCCATTGTCTGTGGAATAAAGTCAACACTATGTTGCATGGCACAGAAAATATACACAGGCTTGTCTTCCCTTGCCATTTCAACTTGCTCCCCTCCATTCCTCCATAGTAAATTACATATGTCATTACTGTTGCTTAGAATATTCTCTCTTCTTTGCCTGGTATACAAGATAGGAAAAATCAAACTGTTCTTTCTACTCTTACATTCAACACACTTCACCTTTGCTCACCAAAATGTACATGGATTTTTTTCCCTCACACACCAAGCAGTTCTCCAGTGTACACCACCTGGATATTCTATAATTCAATTTATTTCTGGCACTGTCTACCTGGAGATAGCATCAGATCCAACAGGTTAAAGGCTCAGTCCCACAAGACTATCCCCCTCTTCAGATGCCATTTATAAATAGTAGGTTTCCGCATGTACTTCTGACCAATTGGCTGTAAATGGGGTTCTCATAACCCCCACCAAGTTCTATTAATTTGCTGGAGCAGCTCACAGAACTCAGGTAAACACTTTACTTGTATTTACTGTGTAATTTTAAAGGCTATTACACAGGATACCAATGAAGAGATGTACAGGGTGAGGTATGGAGGAACGGGTGCAGGGCTCCTGTGCTCCTCCAGACCTGCCACCTGGAACCTCTCCGAACCCTGTCCTTTTGGGTTGTGTTGGAGACTTCATTAAGTAGCCATGACTGATTAAATTCTTGGCCACTGGTGATCAAGTCAACCTTTAGCTTTTTTTCCCTCCCCAAAAGTGGAGGTAGGGCTGAAAGTTCTACCCCTCTAATCACCTAATCAGGTTCCCTTGGCAACCAGCCCCCATGCTAAAGCTATCCAGGAGTCCCCAAGAGCCACCTCATTAAAACAAAAGATGTTTCTGTCACTCAGGATATTCCAAGGGATTAAGGAGAACCAGGGATCAAAGATCAAATATTAGAACAAAAGACTCTCCTAGCACCCCTGTCTATAAGGGTTTTAGGAGCTCTATGTCAGGAACCAGGGACAGAGGCCAAATATATATTATTTCACACCTAGCTAACTCTAGCTAATCCTTTCAAACCCAGCTCACATCCTGTCTCTGAATCTTCAAGGACCCTTCTAGGTGGTGTCAGACCCTCTTTCCCTGTGCTCCCATTGTTCTTCCTCCTAGGTTTGTGGTCATAAGTCATACCTCTCCACACCAGCCTCTCCTCCAACTGAGAGCTTCCCTAGGACAGGAGTAGTTCTGATTCAGCCAGACCTGGCGCAAGTGCTCAATAAATGGGCTCTTCAAAAAAATATTCAAAACATGTGCAACAGGCTAACACATGGTGCAGTAACTAAAATCAGTACCCACAACTGTCAAGGCTTACCTTTGTTCTGGTACATGACTGTGAGTAGAGAAGCTTTATTATCAATTAAGTATAATTCCCTAGGTGATTCTTGGGACTGGTGTACATTTAGCTTTATGGTGTTACCCTCACATTAAGGATGACAAGATGAGTAGGAATTTATTGGCACACTGGCAGACCTAATTTGAGAAGTATCAGTAAATGTAGAGAAATCTAATAATGTCAGAGAAGAAAGAATGTTTTCATTTTGGAACATTTTTTGCAGGAGCCATTTTATCTTATTTAATCAGTAAAGTATTTGGCTTAGCATAGGTATATTTTGCTTTTAAAACTTGCATGTATGGGTGGGGGGTGGGTAGCTGGGATTGACAGTAGTCGATATCCACCTGAGAAAGGGGGGGCACACCTCATCAATAAGGGTACCTGCACAATGAACATTTGTATACCTAACCCTGAATTGTACCCCACAATTTCAACATAAAAATTAAAAGAGAAAGAAAAACCTTGCATGTACATACAATATTTTTAAGAATAGGTGGCCTCTATACATTTTGATTGGAAAATCTGACTGTATCTTATATTACCAAACATAGTAATTTCTTATAACTTAGGAAATTTAATGGAAAGCAGAAGTTTATTTGATGGTATTTGCAAATATGAGTTTGATGCGCGTATTGACTGGAAAATATAGGGACTAATACTTATTTTCCCAGTTAGTGAATGAAATTACTGATTTTGTATCAGTAAGAATTCTCCGATGCTGAGAAAATAGAAGAAGGACTTCTTAAATGGCTTGATAATTGTAAGAGATGGATTTGGAGGCAGGAGGTGAGGGTTCTGACTCTGATATCCTGAGGACCATTTATAGAGTGATGTGACAAATGCAGATTTATGGGGATTATGAACATTAGGTGCGATGAGGTTGAGGAGTGACTGGACTTGGATGGAGTCGTACATGGTAAGTTGTATAGAAGTAAGTTGAGCTGGTTTTTAAGGAAGAACTGGCAGAGAAGAGGAAGGAAAAAGATAGGAAAATAGAGAAGAATACATTTCTGTGTAAGGAGGCATGTTGTTTTGATTGAATTCAACAGGAGCATGATAAAAGTGAGGTTTGGGAGTTGTGAACCAGAGGAAATATGATGTGAAGTCTTTGAAGGTCAAGCTAAGGAAGTTGAACTACTTGATAAACAAGTAGAAGTTTATGGTCTTGAGTAAGGTAAATTGAAATGGGACTTCTGTGTTCTAGAGTAATTGTTCTGGTAGCTAAATTTAGTGCAGCTGGGAAGCCAGGCAAGGAGAGGCCCTCCAAGGGAAGCAGGTGTAGACAATCACAATACCACAAGACAGGGCAAGTGTTTTCATGTGTTTAGTGTATTCATGTGGAACCCTGTAGTGATGTTCACTTGGGTCTGGTGTTTACTCTGAAGTTATAAAGGAAGGGACACTTCTATAATGAAATAATTTGACTGTCCCCAAATAGAAGGTGCTCCATATTTGCCTTTGTCCTTTCTGTTTTTACCAGAGGTTGTTCGGTTCAGAGGGAAGGAGCAGAAAGGGACACAGCCTCACAGTACATTACTGCTTGGAAAGGGATCACAGCTTAATATCTACTTTAATGAGTGGCAACTACCTATCCCATTCTTTTTTTTTTTTTTGAGTTGGAGTTTCACTCTGTCGCCCAGACTGGAGTGCAGTGGCTGCTCCCGGCCACCACAGCCTCGACCCGCTGGGCTCTGGCAATCCTTCCGCCTCAGCCTTCCGAGTAACCAGAATTACAGGCTCACGCTACCATGCCCGACTGATTTTTGATTTATTGTAGAGATGAGGTCTTGCCAAGTTGCCCAGGCGGGTCTCGAACCCGCGGGTTCAGGCAATCCACTCACCTCAGCCTCCCAAAGGCGCGGGATTACAGGCTGAGCCACTGAGCCTGGCTTACCTATCCCATTCTTGATCTGACTTAGAATGCTGAGCTACTTCATTAATGTAAAGAAATGGCAGAATACAAATTTGCATACGTCATTTTTGACCTAGTTTAGCTAGTCGGGCAAGCCTTCCCACTCCCTCTACCTTCATCCCCACATTTTCTCCTCCTCCTTGGGGAGTACAGCCCTTTATAATACTCCAGTCCCTCTTGGGTCAGAAGAGGCCTCTGGACGTGGCAGAAACATTTTCGCTGAATTTTAGCAAGAATCTCTAGAACGTCTCTTTTCCTTAATCCTTGGCTTCATGAGCATTGTCCAAGCCTGTTTTCTTAATTCTGGAAGGTTGCCCTTATTTCTTTTTTCAGAATGGAGTCAGGCTGACTTAATTTAGGAACAAATTCATCTAGTCCACCTCATGGTTCAAGTCAAATTTAATGTCACGGAATGTAAGGATTTGAGGTCTGCTTAGACTTGTGGATAAAAAGGAAAGATAGTAACACTGCAGTCGCTGCTTCTTCACCTACCTGAGGCCTCAGGTGAGCGAGTCACTCAGGGCTTTTCTTTGGCTGGATGTGACTGTGATGGATATCTCTGCAGTGGCCCCGTTTTCAGTTGTTTGTTCTTCTATTGGGACACAAGAGGTGGAATTGGATCTCAGAAACCATCTTCTTGGAATTTCCACCCCATGATGATGCTCCCTGCAGAGTCATCCTCTGGTCTGGCTGCTCCAAAGCTATAGGGGGAACTGTCTTTCTTTGGCTCAAGTTCTTTTGTTAGGAAAGTAAACTGTGGCCTCTCTATACATCAAAACATTTCTCTAACCACATTTCAGTCACCAAAACAAATTACCTGTGACCCATTGTACATCCAAACCAAAAACATGGTTATCAGAGCACTCGTGTGGACTGTATGCTCTGTCTTCTTTGAAACTCCTCATCTGTGGCCAAAAACAGCTTTGGCTGTCCTCTGCAAGGATATTTTATTTTAGTTCCAGTAGCAGAGAAAATATTTTTTCACGTTTTTTTCTAATTTGGTTTCTCTTTGCTTCTACAAGCACTTTTCTACAAGCCCTGCCTGAAGAACTATAACAGTAAAGCTCCTTTGAAAGTGGGAGATGGATGGAAATGAGCTGTCTGTGGAAACTCACCTGTAGTTGGTTTGGGCCAAAAGGGGAAAGTGAAGGGAAGGGTGAATTTTATTTTAGTTTATTATTTTTCAAAGAGACAGGGTCTTGCTATGTTGCCCACATGGGGTGCAGTAGCTATTCACAAGCACAACCATAGCTCACTATAGCCTTGACTCCTGGGCTCAGTTGACCACACTGCCTCAGCTTCCCCAGTTGCTGGGACTGCAGGCATGTCCAGAAAGGGTGAATTTCTGAAGGCTTTGAGATTAGATTTCTAGACCATGATGATGATATACTTATGATGGGTTGGAAAAATGATTCTTTTATTTTTGTTTACTTACTTGTTTTTAAATTTTAAAGATGTGGAGTACAATTCAGGATTAGGTATACAAGAAAAATGATTTTTTAAAAAGGAAGAGATTGGCCAGGTGTGGTGGCTCATACTTGTAATCCCAGGACTTTGGGAAGCCAAGGCAGGAAGATTGCTTGAGGCTAGGAGTTCAAGACCAGTCTAGGTAACATAGCAAGACCCCATCTCTACAAAAATAATCCCTAGGGAGACTGAGTCAGAAGGATCTCCTGAGCCTAGAAAGTTGGAGCTATGGTGAGCTATGATCATGCCACTGCATTCCAGCTTGAGTGATAATGTAAGACCCTGACTCAAAAATTTTGTATACCCTATCATGTTTCAGATACCAGTGAATTTCCTCTGGACAGTGGGTGCAGAGAAGGCTCTGATAGCATTTGTTGACATCCAGCTTTTCTGCCTCAAAGTATTCTCAGAATGTAACACATTTCACACTTCCTTCTCAGAGACCAGTTTCCAAAGCTTTAGAGCAGATGTTTTAAAGAAACAGGTCAACATAGGATATACAGTGACAATATGAAACACCCTCCTTGACATTTTATTTACAATTGTTGGAAGTCAGTAAGTCATATGTGTGTGTATATTTTTCTCCTAGGTTCATTTTCCAGACACTGAAAGAGCAGAATGGTTAAATAAGGTAAGATTAGAATGTAGCAAATACCAGAAATTATTGGGGACTGGAGGATGAGATACCATCTTTCCATATTTGGGAGTTGGCAACATTTAGATTTTAGCAAGTTGGCTTTTGCTCCCCCAAATAACTCAGTCATAATTAGTATAATATGCTGTTTTCCGGAGAGTGAGAACTGTGTCTTTGAACTGAGAAAAGTATGGGTATGCTCACATTTGTATCTCCGACTACATGTCTTCTTTCCTGAACAGGCAGGGCTCAAGTTCATTTTATAATAATCATACATTTTTGAAAACATTATGAAAAAAAGAAAGAACTCTCAAGAAACCTAGTAATTGATGATAATTATTTTTTTAAAAAAAGATTTTTAGAGCAGTACACTTTGAATTAAATCTCTTTTGTCTCTGTATTTTATGAATCTTTAGGGCTATATAGTAAGCACTGTTGTGGGAAATGATCACCTTACATCACTGGAAGTTAGTCTGTCATTAAAAAAATCTGTGGGTGTTTATTAAGATTTATATAGTTTAAGAAGGTTTCCAGTAACAAGTTGAGATTACAGGACTTTTAGCAATCATTAGGTGTACTGAAATGCTAAGTAGAATATTTTACCAGAATTGTTAATTCCTGGAATATATTGGCTAATCAATATTGTTTTAATACATTTTAAAAATTGAGGTCATATTGATTTTGTATCACAAGAAGATCCTTCCCCCCTTTATTTTTTAAAACCAGACTTTGGTAAACTATGAGAGCATAATTCTTTGTGATAACTTAGTATAATATGTATTATAAGGTTTTGTTTGACACCAGTTCTTTTTCTTTTCCAGACTGTAAAACACATGTGGCCTTTTATTTGCCAGTTTATAGAAAAGTTGTTTCGAGAAACCATAGAACCAGCTGTGCGGGGAGCAAACACCCACCTTAGCACCTTTAGTTTCACAAAGGTTGACGTTGGTCAGCAGGTCAGTTTCTTCTTAAGTATCCTTACTTGTGCGTATGGTGGGATTGCTGTGAAAACATGAAAAAGTATGTATTTTTTAGAAAGGGAATGGCAGTAGCGGGATACAGCCGGGTCAGGGTGTGGGAGGGCACAACATCAATAAGGGTACCTGATCTCAAACCAGGCAAAGTGGGGACCAAAGGGAGGTCCAAACCTTACCTGTATGATGACCACTTGTAATCCTGAATTGTGCCCCACATCTTTTTTTTTATTTTTATTTTTGAGTTGGAGTCTCACTCTGTCACCTAGACTGGAGTGCAATGGCCACTCTCGGGCACCACAGCCTCAACCTGCTGGGCTCTGGCGATCCTTCCGCCTCAGCCTTCCAAGTAGCTGGAACTACAGGCATGAGCTACCAACCCCGGCTCATTTTTGATTTATGTAGAGATGAGGTCTCACCAAGTTGCCCAGGAGGATCCTGAACCTGCGGGCTCAGGCAATTCACTCACCTCAGCCTCCCAAAGGTGCGGGATTACAGGCTGAGCCACCGAGCCCGGCTGTGTCCCACATCTTTAAATTAAATAAATGAAAGAAAGAAAAGGAAAAAAGAAAAAATATGTATTTTTTATTTTATTTTATTTTTTGTTTTTTATTTGAGGTGGGGTCTTGCTATGTTACCCAGACCGGCCTTGACGTCTGGGCTCAAGTAATGCTCCTGCCTCAGCCTCCCAAGTAACTGGGTATATATTTTTAAAACAACTTTAAATGACATTCTGGAGAAAATCGCCCCTGAAGAAAGTCTGACTTGTGTGTGTGCCTGCACGTCCATTCAGGCTGCCTCTCATCCGCATGCCTTTTCCTGCCTCTGTCTGGTGGGTCCTTCTAGCACTCCCAGCCTCACTGTGCTGACCCTGCTAGTTCAGCCTTTGTTGCCTGGCTTCTCTTTAACATTTACTTCACTTTCTGTATCGTGTCTTCCTGCCGTCATGTCTTCCTGTCCCATATTCTGTCAGATTTACCTTTTCAGAAATACTAATTTTAAGCAGTCTGTCCTTTGAGAGAGTTTGATAAGTGAATTCGTGCTAAAGGTACAGGAATTGATAAGTGTAATGTGTTTACCCCTCTTGATACGTTAAAAAAAGCAACTGAGAGCCGGGCTCAGTGGCTCAGCCTGTAATCCCACACCTTTGAGAGGCTGAGGTGAGTGGATTGCCTGAGCCCGCGGGTTTGAGACCCGCCTGGGCAAGCGAGACCTCATCTCTACAATAAATCAAAAAAAATTAGCCGGGCGTGGTAGCGTGCACCTGTAATTCCGGAAGGCTGAGGCGGAAGGATCGCTGGAGCCCAGCAGGTCAAGGCTGCGGTGGCCGGGAGTGGCCACTGGCCACTGCACTCCAGTCTGGGTGACAGAGTGAGACTCCAACTCAAAAAAAAAAAAAAAGCAACTGAGGAGTCTAATGCTGTAATTATAGGCATCAGTTAATTACATAGGTAAAAGGAAACTCAAGACTGCATTTAAATGAGTGGATCTTGGCAAATTTTATTTTATTTAGTCAGTGTTTAAATAATTAGCAACAGTCCAAGATAACATTGTTTTTTATATGCCTTATAAAAACTCAGAATCAGACCGGGAGCAGTGGCTCAAGCTTGTAATCCCGGCACTTTGGGAGGCCAAGTTGAGAGGATTGCCTGAGTCCAGGGGTTCGAGACTAGCCTGGGCAACGCGGTGAGATCTCTTCTCTACAATAAATCAAAAAATTAGCTGGGTATGGTGGTGTGCACCTATAGTTCCAGCTACTTGGAATGCTGAGGCAGAAAAATTGCCTGAGCCCAGCAGGTTGAGGGTGCGGTGGTCGTGATCGTGCCACTGTACTCCAGCCTGGGTGACAGAGTGAGACTCCAACTCAAAAAAACCCCCCAAAGCTCAGAATCTGATAGTACTTTAAAACACACACATATAATTTGCACATATTGGTGCGTGCAGTACAGTTCAGGGTTGTGATAGATGTGGCCAAGAGAGGGTCTGGCCCAACTGCTGTGTGTATCTGTCACTTGCTGGTGGTTGTCAGTGTCTGCTCCACACTTTCCAGGCTACTGGTCATGGAAGCTGACTTTCTGTGTGCAGTGAATGTCCCATCTCAGAGGCAGAGCCTCTAGCCCGTGTTTCCAGTACAGGCTTAGGCATGGTGTTTGTCTGTATTCGCTTCTACTTCTCTTAGCTTTAGACCTCCAAATAAGGAGGCATGGCCATCCTGCTCAGGTGCCCACGGGACTGCAGAGGATGCCTTCTTGACACTTAAGATTTACCTTAACTTCCATAACCTAAAATGGTAATTACGGATGGGAGAAACACAATCACAAGTTAAAATGTGGTGTGTTTGCAGGAGTTTGCAACCCCTGCCTTACAGCAGTCTAACTTGTAATTGTGAGTTAAAGTCACAATTACAAGTTAGACTGCTGTAAGGCAGGGGTTGCAAACTCTTTCTGGTCACGGCCTGATCGTAAGTGTTACAGCTTTGACTCTACCTGATGGCTCAGTGGTACGTTCTCCTATGCTCCCTCCCTTCTTTTACAGCCCTTTAATCAGGGTTGTACAGAAACAGCTTTAAGGCCACATTTAGCCTGTAGACCATAGTTTGCTGTTTCCTAATGTAAAGTCTGCTTACATTTGTGGGTATTTAAAATTCTTTTTTTTAAAATTAGAGTCTCACTCTGTTGCCCAGCCTGGAGTGCAGTGGCACACTCATGGCCACCGCAGCCTCAACCTGCACGCACCACCATGCCCAGCTAATTTTTAAAAATTTATTATAGAGATGAGGTCTTGCCAAGTTGCCCAGGCTGACCTCGAACCTGTGGGCTCAGGCAGTCCTCTCACCTCAGCCTCCCAAAGTGCTGGGATTATAGGCATGAGCCACCATGGCCGACTGATGTTTAAAATTCTAACCCCAGTTTTTATTATATTTTATTTTAGGGGCAGTTTAATTATGTTTACGTTCTATTACACATGTTTTAAGTTTGCTACCAACTAAGTAAGAAGATCCTTGGAGAACAGTAAGACTATTAAGAGGAGTGTTGATTCAATAAAGGTAGCTTTGCCACTTTTGTCTCTGCATTGACATCTTACAAGTGGCAAGCAAACCTTGGCTGTCTGATGAAGGAACAAGTTAGATGGCGTGTGCGGTCCCTTGAAGGGTGCTTTGTTCAGACTCTGTGCTGGTCATGTCCCTTAGGCGACCTTCAGGTATTTGTTCTTTGTTAGAAAATGCTTAGTCATCTGGAATGGGCTCAAGCTCTTAATTACTCTGAGATGTAGTTTAAGAGGAGAAAGGGGAATATGTCATCTAATGCAAATGTTTAATGTGAAGATACTGCCACATATGCTCCATTTTCATTTCTTAGCATTCTGAGTTGATTGTTTCTTAATGGTTAGCAGTCTGTGTATGTCTTCCCTGGTGTCATCATAAAGGGAAAACAAAGGAATCTGGGAGAGTAGGGTATGTCTCGACTCTTGAGTAAAGGCTCAAAATTCTACAACTAGTTGAGAGGTAAGATTTTAAGACACCCAAGCTTGTCATAGTGTAAGGAGTAGTATCCTGAAAGTGAGACATTTCTTTATTTTAGGTATTTAATGCTCATATGTATGTCAAGAACTTTCTTAGAAGGGACTCTCAAAGTGATAAATGGGAAAAGGTTTTGAAATGATATTGTAACTGGACCCTTGAAATACATTTATTATAGTCTGTCTTTTCAGTCATTTATCTATATCATATATTTGGTATTGATAGTATACCTGCAAGCTTGTATTTTTTATTTACTCAGAAGCCCCACTTTTATGGAAATCTTAAAAAATGAAAAACTGGCTGGGCTCGGTGGTTCAGCCTATATTCCCAGCACTTTGGGAGGCCGAGGCGAGTGGATTGCCTGAGCCTGAGGGTTCGAGACCTACCCGGGCAACTTGGCGAGACCTCGTCTCTACAATAAATCAAAAATTAGCCAGGCATAGTAGCGTGTGCCTGTAGTTCTGGCTACTTGGAAGGCTGAGGTAGAAGGATCACCAGAGCCCAGCAGGTGAAGGCTGCGGTAGCCGGGAACATGCCACTGCACTCCAGTCTGGGTGACAGGGTGAGACTCCAACTCAAAAAAAAAAGAAATGAAATGAAAAATTGTAAGATATAAAGAAAAAGGAAATTATGTTTCAAACAGTGTAATAAGGATAGATTAGCAGGAGGGGATCAAATTAAGCCAGAAGAGACACAGAATAAAGGGCTTGAAAAGAGAGCAGATATTGTGATGTGCTAACAATATACTTAATGTTCATTGAGTACTTACTGTGTGCCAGGCTGTGCAATGAATTGTTTATATTTATTATATTGTTTAACTGCAAAGTAGCCTTATGAGATAGAAACAATTATTGCCTACATCTTACAAGTGAGGAAATTGAGGAATAGAGGTTAACTAACTGGCTGAAAATCAAGCAGCTTGAGCTGGGTATGGTGACTCATGCCTGTAGTCCTCTGAGAGGCCTAGGTGAGAAGGTTGCTTGAGCCCAGAAGTTTAAGATCAGCCTGGGCAATGTAGTGAGAATTCGTATGTACAAAAAAATAAAAAAATTAGCCAAGTGTGGTGGCACTTGCCTGTAGTTCCAGCTACTCAGGAGGCTGAGGCAGAAGGATCACCTGAGCCCAGGAGATCAAGACTGCAGAGCTGTGATTGTGCTACTGTGCTCTAGCCTGAGCAATAGAGTGAACAAACAAAGAAAAATACCCCAAGCCGCTTGTATATTGTGAAAGCAGAATTTTAATTCATGCTGTTGTCTAAAACCAAAGCTTATTGTCTTATTGTCTTTATTGAAGTGGACCCAAAAACACACAGAATTGTTTTTTGGAGGGTGGACCCTTGTAGTACAGGCTTCCCTTGCTAGGTAAGTGTTCTAATAACCCACTGGCACCACTTACCAGCAAGTATTGTTGTGAGAGGCTGCATTTGGCTTCAGTGAATTTATTTTTTGGAGATTCTTTCAGGGTGTTTGCCCGTTTCATGGTAGGTTATTTACGAGGCACCTACCCACACCATGCTCAGTGTTCAGCAGTTTTGTTTTATTTTGTTTTGAGTTGGAGTCCCACTCTGTTACCCAGACTGGAGTGCAATGGCTGCTCCCACCCACTGCAGCCTCGACCTGCTGGGCTCCGGCGATCCTTCCACCTCAGCCTTCCAAGTAGCTGGAACTACAGGCACATGCTACCACACCCGGCTGATTTTTGATTTATTGTAGAGATGAGTTCTTGTCAAGTTGCCCAGGTGGGTCTCGAACCTGCAGGCTCAGGCAATCCACTCACCTCAGCCTCCCAAAGTGCTGGGATTACTTTTTGACCAAAAACAGCATGACCCCTGTGCCCCCACCCTCCCTATTCACCCGATCCACCCTGAGCAACTTTTATTCTTGTTTCCCTAGATGAAAAAAGTACTCAAAGGAAAATGTTTTGCCAGTGTGGAAAAGATGAAATAAAAAATAGCAAAAGTATCCAAAGGCATCAAAATTAATGAGTTCACTAACTGTTTTGAGCAGGGGAAAAAGCATCTCAATAGGTATATTGCATCAAACATAGAATACTTTGAAGGTGACTGCATTTTAAACATGTAAGAATAAATACACAAATTTTAATAAATAAGTTCTGGGTCTTTTGGGGTTCCCCCTCATATCTGTATACTATCTTGTAAAGTTTGACTTTTTTTTTAACCTTTGAGTATTTTTAATTAAGCTACTTCTTGTTTCAGCCCCTCAGGATCAATGGTGTTAAGGTTTATACTGAAAATGTAGACAAAAGGCAGATTATTCTAGACCTTCAGATTAGGTAAGTTTTTATTTCTGCCATGTTTATTTATGCCATGGTTAATGATGCATAATGTCACTTAGCTATACATATATGATGCAGGATATAATGAGCACATATGATCTAGCAATTTCACTTCTGTTATATATACCCAAAATAGTTGAAAGCAGAGATTTGAGCAGATATTTGCACACTCACATTTATAGCAGCATTATTTACAATAGCTAAAAGGTAGAAGCAACCCAAGTATTTACGGATGGATAAATGGATAAGCAAAATGTGGTATATATTATTCAGCTTAAAAAAAAAAAAAAGAAAGCTGGGCTCGGTGGCTCAGCCTGTAATCCTACGCTTTGGGAGGCTGAGGTGAGTGGATTGCCTGAGCCTGAGGGTTCGAGATCCGCCTGGGCAACTTGGCAAGACCTCATCTCTACAATAAATAAAAAAATTAGCTGGGTGTGGTAGCGCACACCTGTAGTTCCAGCTACTTGGAAGGCTGAGGCCTAAGGATCGCCGGAGCCCAGCAGGTCGAGGCTGCAGTGGCCAGGAGCGTGCCACTGCACTCCAGTCTGGGCGACAGAGGAAATCCTGCCACATGCTACATGACATGATATAGATAAACTTTGAGGACATTGTGCTAAGTGAAATAAGCCAGACACAAAAGGATAACTACTGTATAATTCCACTTAATGAGGTACCTGGAGTAGTTAGATTCATAGAGACAGAAAGTAGAGTAGTGGTTGCCAGGGGCTGGGAGAAAAGGGTGAATAGGAAGTTAGTGTTTCATGGAGGAAGAGTTTCATTTATACAAGATGAAAAAAGTTTTGGAGATGGATGGTGGTCATGGTTGCACAACTGTTTTTGTTTTTTTGTTTTCTTTTTTTTGAGTTGGAGTCTTACGCTGTCGCTCAGGCTGGAGTGCAGTGGCATGCACTCACAGCTACCCCAGCATCAACCTGCTGGACTTTGGCGATCCTTCTGCCTCAGTGTCCAAGTAGCTGGAACTACAGGCACGCGCTACCACGCCTGGCTAATTTTTGATTTATTGTAGAGATGAGGTCTTGCCAAGTTGCCCGGGCTGATCTTGAACCTGCGGGCTCATGCAATCCACTTGTTTCAGTCTTCCAAAGTGCTGAGATTACAAGCTGAGCCACTGAGCCCAGCCGATTGCACAACTTTATGAATATATTTAATACCACTGAGTTTCACATGTAAAAATAGTTAAGGTAGTACATTTTGTTATGTGTATTTTAACACAATTTTTAAAAGTGGGAAGGAAAAAAGAAATAGAAGGTCTGCTAAGTACCATGCCTAGCACAGTAAAGGTGAGCTTCTTTGTTTCTTTTTTTTCTTTTTTTTGAGTTGGAGTCTCACTCTGTCACCCATGCTGGAATGCAGTGACATGTTCCTGGCCACTGCAGCCTCAACCTGCTGGGCTCTGGCAGTCCTTCTACCTCAACCTTCCAAGTAGCTACCACACCTGACTAATTTTTTATTTATTGTGAAGACGAGGTCTCGCCAAGTTGCTCGGGTGGGTCTCGAACCCACAGGCTCAGGCAATCCATTTTCCTCGGCCTCCCAAAGTGCTGGGATTACAGGCTGAGCCACCAAGCCCAGCTGCTTCTTTGTTTCTTGTCCTCGTTCTTCCTTGAACTTGCTCACGGCTTCTGGCTTTCTGTGTGAGGCCTAATAACATACTGCATGTGATGACTAGTGAGTGCTGTGGACTCAAAACAACTGTGGGGTTGTTAGCAGCTCAGAGTTGTTCTTTTTTTGTTCATCGACTAAGGATCATATTGTCATCTTTGAGTTTCCAAAGTACATCAGTATAGTGGATGTACAGAGTTGTTACTGATTACCTTTACTTTAGAGAGACGCATAGAACGTCTTTAATATGAAAAAAATCTGCATCTTTAAAATATTTGGCACTAGTGCAAATACTGTTGTCAGTGGAATAAAAAAGGAGGCCCACTTTGTCTTATGTTAGTCTGTGCCTTAAGCCTGCCCACCGGGGCTGCTACTAAGCTTCACAAGGATGGAAATGTGCTATGTTGTTCAGTGTCTCCAGCACTGAGTAGATTTTCCACATACACTTATTAAATAAAAATTGGAATGAATCAGTCAGTGAGTGCCATTTTGAAGATGCAGTCTGGTTTTTATGTTTTTAGCCACTATTAAATATGCAGAGTATCCTCAGCTATTTATGTCTCCAAACAAAAATGCATTCTACTTTGCTATGAGTTCCAGACATGGACTTTAACTAAATTAGCAATAGAGATGGGATGGGGGGAAGGAGTAATTAAAAAGTATTAGGAAATATAATGATCAAGTCTTAAGGTAAAGAAGAAAAATTTTTGTGACAGGTGATTGGTGATTTTACCAACTAGGTAGAGAATAATTCTCAAAGAGAGGAATCTGTAGGTATTGCCTTTAACAGCAGGATGGTAAGTATTGAAACAATTTTATCCCAGATCCCTTTTGTTAATATTTTGTTCATCTGCTGAGACACTACCTGATGAATGTTTCTCAAACTTCCCCACCAACATTGTGGGGCAGGATTATGATGTTCTGCTTCAAGAAGTCAAGGATGGGGTAGAATCGTACAATTATTCCATACAAAAAGTATTTGACATTTCATGTTTATGTTAAAAATAGATGCAAACCTTGCATTCAACATCATAATCATGTTTGCTTCATATTCATGTTTGAAATGGCTTAGTCATTAAGAAAAATTGAGGCCCCAAATAGACGTTCTGTTTCCAACTTTTGACATCACAGAACCCTGGGGCACTGTAAGTTTTTTCATGATTGGGGAGCAAGGATGTAAAATAAAATCTAAACTTTTTAGTGTTCTGAGCAAACACTGGATTTGTAAGATAAATGAAAACTACATCTTATCAGAAGACTGCTTCAGAAGTTGCATTTGGTTATTTACATTTTCCTTTGAAAATTGATATTTTTATTTGGTTAAGATTTTTATATGTAATAACAAATATGTGTGTGTATACATATACATATGTATGTATACACACACACACACACATGTATGTATTATTCCTCACGGGTGTCGTAGCAGTGTTGAATATGGTGCCTCCCACCTGGAGCAGTAAAACGCTATAATATGATGGGCCACATTTTAGAGTTTTAACCTACAATCTGATTTTGATTGCTTTCCAGTCATCTTATTCAGATTATGTACGTTGCAACTCTATAATGATTAAGGAAACAGTTAATTTCACTCAGCTTGTGTAATGCAGAATTTTTTCTTTGCTAGTTTTGTAGGAAACTGTGAGATTGATTTGGAGATCAAACGATATTTTTGTAGAGCTGGTGTAAAGAGCATACAGGTACGTTTTTAAAAAATTTCGTAGCTTCCTAAAGTTCCCTTAGCATATTCAGAAAAATTGTGAAGTTTGTATTAGCTTGAATTTTTTTGAAGTTAAGCATTTGTTTGTAGGTCGTAGTTGAGAAAAACATGCAGTCATGCTTGAAAGTTACTAAAATTCTCATGCAGACGTCTTGCATGGAGTAAATGGCCTTGCAGAGTTGTTTTCTATTATATATTTTGGTTTCCTGTTTGAGTTTAGATTCATGGTACAATGCGGGTGATCTTGGAACCATTGATTGGAGACATGCCCTTAGTTGGAGCTTTGTCAATCTTCTTCCTTCGAAAACCAGTAAGTCAAAATTTATTTCATTTTTAATCTTTCCATGTAGTGACAAAAATATATACCTACAGAAGAATGCATAAAGCAAAGAAACAAAATTTTATTTAACTTTTTTCTCTTTCTGATACATGAATCCTGTGAGTTTTTTCATACCTCTTTGTGCTTTAACTGAGGACTTCATCACTTGATAAACAACTTTCTTTCCTGATTATAAAAATAATGTTTATTAAAGAAAATTTGAAAACAGACTTTAAAAAAAAATTTTTTTTTTTGAGTCATGTAAATGGCTATTGCCCATGCTGGAATGCAGTGGCATGTTTACTGCCACTGCTGGACTCAGGCAATCCTTCCAAGTAGCCGAAACTGTAGGCTTCCATGCCTGGCTACCATGCCTAGCTAATTTTTTTTTTTTTTTTTTTTTAGTTGGAGTCTCACTCTGTCGCCCAGACTGGAGTGCAGTGGCCACTCCTGGCCACCGCAGCCTCGACCTGCTGGGCTCCAGCGATCCTTCCGCCTCAGCCTTCCAAGTAACTGGAATTACAGGCGCACGCTACTACGCCCGGCCAATTTTTTGATTTATTGTAGAGATGAGATCTCACCAAGCTGCCCAGGCGGGTCTCGAACCCGTGGGCTCAGGCAGTCCACTCACCTCAGTCTCCCAAGGTGCGGGATTACAGGCTGAGCCACCGAGCCTGGCTGAATTTTCTGATATATTGTAGAGATGAGGTCTCGCCAAGTTGCCCAGGCTGGCCTCGAATCCCTGAGCTCAGGCAGTCCTCTCACCTTAGCCTCCCAAAGTGTTGGGAACACAGGCTTGAGCCACCACGCCCAGCCAACATAGACTTTTTTTAAAAAGTATAGGTGACAGCTAACATTTTATTTAGCACCTATCACTGAGTATGGTTTATAGATGTTTGCTCATAACTCTAGCTAAATATTAGCATTATTTCCTTTTATTATTCAGGAACTGAAATTTTGAGAGTCTTAATTGTCCACATTGCACAGCTAGTAAGTTTTGGAGCCTGCACATAGATCCAAATCAGTCTGATATAGAATTCATATTCCTAAACACTTTGTTGTATTGACTTACCTATAGCCCTCCCTCTAACCCCCTTCCAGTGGTAAGTGCTGCTATCATTTGAATGCATCCCCTTCCTTTTTGGTTGTACATTTGATGACCTGCACATACGGTTTTATATGCAGGTTGAGTATTTTTAATTTGAAATGCTTGGGACCGCAAGTATTTTGGATTTTAGAATTGCATTATACTTATATTTCAGTAAGTATTTTCTTTGAGCATCAAGTCTCTACACTCAGAAAGTTTTGGATTTTGAAGCGTTTTGGATTTTCAGATTAGGGATGCTAAACCTGTACTGTGTTTTTTTGTTTGTTCTTTAGGGTTTTCTTGAGTTGGAGTCTCACTCTGTCGTCCAGGCTGGGGTGCAGTGGCATGCTTATGGCCACCGCAGCCTCAACCTGCTGGGCTCAGGCGATCCTTCCGCCTCAACCTTCCAAGTAGCTGGAACCATGCCTGGCTAATTTTTTGAATTATTGCAGAGACAAGGTCTCACCAAGTTGTCAGGCTGGTCTTGAACCCCGGGACTCAGGCAGTCCTCTTGCCTCGGCCTCCCAAAGTGCTGGGATTACAGGCATGAACCACCACACCCGGCTCTGTACTGTGGTTTTAAAATGTCATAAAGAGCCGGGCTCAGTGGCTCAGCCTGTAATCCCAGCGCTTTGGGAGGCTGAGGTGAGTGGATTGCCTGATCCCGCGGGTTAGAGATCTGCCTGGGCAACTTGGCGAGACCTCATCTCTACAATAAATCAAAAAATCAGCCGGGCGTGGTAGTGCACGCCTGTAATTCCGGCTACTCAGAAGGCTGAGGCGGAAGGATCATCGGAGCCCAGCAGGCGAGGCTGCAGTGGCCAGGAGCGGCCACTGCACTCCAGTCTGGGCGACAGAGTGAGACTCCAACTCAAAAAAAAAAAAATGTCATAAAGACTTTTTTTGATTGATTTTCTAACATTTAGATAAGTCAGAATGTTATTTCACATTGTTAACCTTCCCCCCCTTTGTTTTTGCTTGTAAGTAGTTAATACTTACTGTTCACTACTAGCCACAAAACTAAGGCAACACAACTATTAATCCTACCAGAGAGACTCATTCCTTTTTACCTAGTCTCCTGCAGCCTCTAATTGGCTTCTGCCTTTGCTGTCCTTGTGTTCATCATCATCAGGGTAACCTCAAAGTACAGACTGACCTACTGGGATTGTCTCTTTCTTGCAGTCAAGACTGTGGTGATTTAGACAGGCTCTCTCTTTCTAGCCTCATTTCCTACTACTGCCCCAGTAAGCATTCCAAGTTCCACAAGATGCATTCTAAGAAAAGTATCAGCCCCATACTGCTGTCTCCTTGTGCCTTTTTCCCAGAATGCTTTATTTGACTATTTAGTATCACTTATTTTCGGCAAATTTCTGCACATTGCTTTCTAGGACAGAGTCGTAGTCCTGTAGTGTCACAGTTAACATTAACTCTTTGAAACTAAGAACCATATTTGTCTTCATAGAGTTCAGTAGATGTCTGATGGATGAATTGAACTGTTTCTAAAACAATTTTTAATATATGCCATTTAGTAACTCTTGATGAGTCCTTTATGGATGCACTCTGAACATCATGTATTATTTAAAATAAGGACATTTGACCAGGCTCGGTGGCTCAGCCTATAATCCCAGCACTTTGGGAGGCCGAGACGAGTGGATTGCCTGAACCTGTGGGTTTGAAACCAGCCCAGGCAACTTGGCAAGACCTCATCTCTACAATAAAATTTTTAAAAAATAGCCAGGAGTGGTAGCATGCGTCTCTAGTTCCGGCTACTTGGAAGGCTGAGGTGGAAGGATCACTGGAGCCCAGAATGTCAACGCTGGGGTGGCCGTGGGCATGCATGCCACTGCACTCCAGCCTGGGTGAAGGAGTTGAGACTCCAACTCAAATAAATAAATAAATAAATAGTAAGTAAATACCATAAGAACATTCATTTGTATAATTTAATTCAAATAAATTAATAAAAATTTTTATTTGGTTTTTAAGATATGGGCTTATCTAGACCAGACTAAATTTACCTACAGGTGGTACTTTTTCTGTATAAAAACATAAACAGAATTATATGTCATCACTTTCTATTATCGCTAAAATTCTCATTTGCTTATTATTGCTTATTTAATGGGCTTATTTTGAATGCGTTTTAAGTGCAGAAAAATGGTAACATGTAAAAGAAAGCCTTTGTGTCAAATTTCACTTTATTAAAATTTTGGGAAATGAGATTTATAAGATTTAAAATTTATGTTTTTTTTAATGCCAGGTGTTGAAAAGCTAGTATGTTTAAGAAACTAACTTCATTAATGACCCAAAAAACTAATCTTTAACAAATTGCTAAGTATTTTAAATGTATTTTTAGGCAGGAGCATTTTTAACAATTGAAAGAAAGGGCTCCTGCCTCCTCTAGTTCAGAATGTAACAAAATCCAAATCTTTTAAGTCTTCCTCTAAACGTAGTAATACTTTTACTTAGTTTGGATCTCCCGCGGATGAGTTTACTTTTAAAATAGCATTGTAATATTAACTTCCAAATGAAATTTTAGTCTTCAGAAAAGAAGGATGAGACTGAAAAGTTCAGGATCACTCATTTCCTTATATGGTGAATAAAGTCACCAAACATGCTTCAGGGAGAAGGAAATTTTTTTCAGTTACTTTTTACTGGAAAATATGAGAACAGAATTTATTGCTAGCTGCCAAGTAATTCTTCCTTACCCTGGTGAAAAATAAATCTAGAAGTTTTGGTGTTTTTTTTTACTTTTTACTACCTAGGTGATTTAGAAGTATAGTGCCAGAGACCTTTATGAAACCGTGACATATTTTTCTATTTGTTAGTTTCTTTAGTTTGGATAATGTGGTACTTGTTGGAAGAAGGCAACCCTAAGCATTCCTTGAGTGATGAACTTTTAGTGCCTAGGAGAAAGCAGTGCAGTATGATTGAGTGACAGACTTATGTGCTTTGCAGCCTGGCTTTCCACTCTTAGTTCTTTCTCTTTTTAACTGTGTCCTTTGAGCAACTTATTTTATTCCTCTAAGCCTCAGTTTCCCATCTGTTATATGGCAATGACAGTAATACCTATCTCATACATTTAAATGTGAAAAATAAATTTCAGTGAATATAAACTGCCAAGTGCAGTGCCTAAGACATCTAAGTATTCAGAAATTTAAGAAATTAAATATTTTCCTATATGTAGATTTAGCATTCTAGTGAAGTCTTGAAACTAGAAGTCTAGAGGTTAATTATTGGTAAGGAGAAGAGCTTGGATACATGTTTTGATAAGAACTGTGACAGTTGGTGTTTGCCATTCCAGGGAATCATTCTCACTTGATAGTTGTTGGATATACTCAGGTGTACATTCTTAGTGGTGTTTCAGAGTCCTTAGTCTTTTTTAGATTTATCCCACAAGTACAGGATTAGACAAGAGGTAATCCATTAGGTCATTCCCAGAACTTCTCTAAGAGATGGTCCTAGCCTTGCTGCTGATATGTTTGTTCATCTTCAGGGAGTCTTCCCACTGAATGCGGAGGTGCTGGCTTCTGGCTCCTTTTGAGCCATAGATTCCATTTCTTCATGTGTTAAATGCAAATAACATTTTTCATTAAGAGAAGAAATTGAGCCAGGCTCTGTGGCTCAGCCTGTAATCCCGTGCCTTTGGGAGGCTGAGGTGAGTGTATTGCCTGAGCCCGCGAGTTCGAGACCCGCCTGGGCAGCGAGACCTCATCTCTACAATAAATCAAAAAAATGATCCAGGCATGGTAGTGCATGCCTGTAATTCCGGCTACTTGGAAGGCTGAGGTGGAAGGATTGCTGGAGCCCAGCAGGCAAGGCTGCAGTGGCCGGGAGCAGCCACTGCATTCTAGTCTGGGCAACTGAGTGAGACTCCAACTCAAAAAAAAAAAAAAAAAGAGAAGAAATT